AATTTGAAAGAGTTGCTTCTCAGTCCAGCATGGTGGTACAGCCTTTAATCCCAGTACTCAGGAGGCAGAGGCAGGCGGATCTCTATGAGTTCAAGGTCAGTAGCCTGGACTACATAGGGAGTTCCAGGCCAGCTGGGGCTATAGGGAGACCCTGTCTCAAAAAGACAAAAAAAAAAAAAAAAGTTGGTTTTCTCCTTTCATGTGGATCCCGGGGATTGAACTCAGGTCAGGTCGTCAGATTTGTCAGCAAGCACCTTTACTCACTGAACCATCTTGCTGGCCCCTGAAATTTTCTTTCCATTGTACATTTATCCATGCATAGATAACTTTGAAGAACCTTGATTTCTTCCTACCATGTGGCATTTGATTGGGATTTCTCTAAATAGTTGTCAAATAGGTTGATGGAAGAGTGACAGGAAGTAGGGAGGAGTTGGGGGTGAATATGATCCAAACACATTATGTGAAAATTTCAAAGAATTAATAAAAATATTTAAAAAACGTATGCAGGTATAATAATAATAAATAATAATAATAACAACAACAACAAAAGGAAAGAGTCAAAGAAGCTTGATGTGTGGTGCCTGTGATCCCAGCACACAGGAGGCTGAGGCAGGAGGTTCTTGAACCTGAAGCAGCCTAGACTATATAATGAGTTCAAGGCCAGCCTGCCCAGTTTCAAAAACACAAACTAGCCCGGCGTGGTGGCACACACCTGTAGTCCCAGCACTTGGGAGGCAGAGGCAGGTGGATCTCTGTGCGTTCAAGGCCAGCCTGGTCTACATAGTGAGTTCCAGGACAGCTGGGGCTACAGGGAGACCCTATCTCAAAAACCAAAAACAAACGAAAAAAAACCAAACCAAACCAAAACAAAAAAACCCCACAAACTAGACAGGTGTGCTGGCGCAAGCCTTTAATCACAGCACTTGGTAGGCAAAGGCAGGCTGATCTTTGTGAGTTCGAGGCCAGCTGGGGACTATATAGTGAGTTCAAAGCCAGCTGGGGATACAGAGAGACCCTATCTCAAAAAGACAGACAACTAAAAAATTATGTGGGGCTAGAGACATGGCCCAGCAGTTAAGAGCACTTGCTACTCTTGCAGAGGACCTGGGTTCGATTCCCAGCACCCAACATCCCTCTGTAACTCCAGTTTCATGGGATTCAACAGCCTCTTCTGGTCTCTGTGGGAATTGCATGCATGTGGTGCACTTATGTGCAGGCAAAAAACACACGCAAAATAAAAATAAATAAAAATCTAAAAAATTATGTGTCTGTGTCTGAGTATGGTTATGTGTGAGTGTAGGTACCTGTGAAGGTCAGAGGCATCTGATCCCCTGGAACTGGAGTTGCAGGCAGTTGTGAGCCACTTGACATGGATGCTGGGACTCAAACTCAAGTCCTTCACAGGAGTAGTATGTGCTCTTAACCACTGAACAATCTCTCTAGCACCATAACAAGTACAAATATGTACTTATTTTCCTTTCTTGTTTTTTAAAATATTTTATTATTTTTATTTTATGTGTATGAGTATTGCCTGAATGTATGTGAGTGCACCCATGTCGTGCAGTGCCACAGAGGTCAGAAGAGAGCTTTGGATTTCTCTGGAACTGGAGTTAAGGACGGTTTGTAGCCACCATGTGGGTGCTGGGAATCGAACCCGGGTCCTCTGCAAGAGCAGTCGGTGCTCTTAACCACTGAGCCAACTCTCCAGCCCCATATATACTTATTTTCATTTTATATTTATTTTGAAGAAAAAGACCAATAAAAGCAGCAAGTTGTGCCTCAGTAGCAGCATCAGCTGTTCTAATTCTGCAGTCAATCCAAACGAAATGAGAGACATCTAGCATGCACCATTAAAAAATAACGTGGGGGCTGGAGAGATGGCTAGCGGTTAAGAGCACTGACTGCTCTTGCAGAGGAACCGGGTTCGATTCCTAGCACCCACATGGCATCTATAAACCATCCTTAACTCCAGTTTCAGGGGACTCTGAAGCCCTCTTCTGACCTCCACAGCATTGCACGACATGGGTGCATGCACATACATGCAGGCAATACTCTCGTACACATAAAATAAAAATAATTAATAAAATAGCAAAAAAAAAAGTGAAAAAGAAATTTCCAGGCACAGCAAAGTTCTGTTACAGTTGTAGTACCTGCTATCATTTCTGTTTTATTTATTTTTTGAACAGAGTCTTTTAAAAACATTTTTATTTTATGCGTATGAGCATATCTCCTGCATGTATGTTAAGGGACTCACTGGTGTTGTACAATGCCTATGGAGGCCAGAAGAGGGTGTTGGAAATACAGAGGGTTGTTATCTGCCATATTGACTAGGCAGGTTGGCTACTGAACTCTGGGGATCCACCTGCTTCTGCTGCTCCCCAGTACTGGAGTTACAGGCAGGCATAGCCATGCCTGGCTTTTTATGTGGGTACTGGGGATTTGAACTCTGGTCCTTATGCTTTTGCAGTAAGCACCCTTAACCACAGAACAATCTATTCTACCCCCACTTTCCCTCTTTTTTTTGAGACCAGGTCTCATGTATCCCAGGCTAGTCTCCGACTTGATAGATAGCCTAGAATGACCTTGAACTGCTGATCCTCCTGCCTCTACCTTCTGAGTTGGGGAAGGAACCCAGGGCTACATGCATGCTAGGCAAGCACTGTACCAACCAAGACTCAGCCCCAGATCCTGCTGTTGTTTTTGGAACAAAGTCTGTAATGTAGCTCTGGCTGGCCTGGAATTGCTTATGAAGTCAGGCTTTCCTCAGACTCGAAGGAATCCTCCTGCCTTAGCCTCCCGAGTCCTGGGATGACAGGTATGAGCCTGCACACTTAGTGGTCAAACAGATTTGGAGGAAAGGGCACCCAGGAGTGGGTTAGCAGGGTGGCTCTGGCTCAGGGTATCTCATGAGGGTGCTGTCAGATGTTGATGGGGACCGAACTCACTTGACTGAGGCCGGGAACCGCTTCCAGGACAGCTCCTTCCCACAGCTGTTGGCAGGAGGTCTCAGCTCAGCCACACAGGCCATTCAGGACTGCCTGAGCTTGCTCAGTGAGAGAGCCATCTTTAAATGCATATACATATACACACATACATACAAATACATATACATACATATACACTCATATATACATATACACACATACATATACATACATATACATATACATACATATACATATACACATACATATACATATACATATACACACATACATATACACATATATACATATACATATATATATGGTGTTGTAGGGAATGCTAAGGATTGAACCCCAGTTTTTTTGAGACAGGATTTCAGTAGTAGCCCTGGCTGGCCTGGAACTCATGTAGACCAGGCTGGCCTCAAACTCACAGAGATTTGCCTGCTTCTGTCTGCCTCCTGAGTGCTAGAATTAAAGGTGTATGTCACACTGTCTGGACCCAATTAAAATTATACATTTATTTATTTATTTATTTATTTATTTATTTATTTATTTATTTA